CCTTCCCAGCTTTCAGCAGCACTCTGCTCCCATTTTGCTTCCCTGTACCCACTCCTAGCCCTCAAGTTCCATCTCTCTCTCTCTACTCTGCATCTCTACTTTGATCAATTACTCCCATGAACTGAATACCCCAATAGATATACTGCTTCATTTGTTGTATTATCTAAGTTCTCACAGACAATAACTATAATGTATGTTTTACCTAATCCTGTGCTTAATTCACCTTCTGTCATTATTAGTCCATCCTTATTAATCCCTTCATCCCCATGACCTTCTTCATCCATCCACAAAGTCCACAATTTCTCTAGTATCCTTAACTTCCTTGCACGCTAAATCTCTTATACCAATAAATCCCTTTGTTTAGGTTCTCAGTTACTTGAGCCCACTTGTTCCTCTTAACCCTCTTTCCCCTCTCTCCCTCCTGTTGATTCCTACCCTTCTCTGCAAATTCCCGGATGTTATCAGAAACTGGCCTCAGTACATGGAGGGCAGGGAGAGATGAAGAGGCTGGCCACTCCACATTGGTGGGTAGCAGTTTTAATAAGTAAAGAGAACTTACATATGAAACTTGTCTTGGGCAGTGGCACAATAAGTGGATCCCCATACCTGCCTGTCCAATCTTAAAGTTTATATAGAGAGAAGCCTTAACTGGACTCAGTCATGTACACCATGCAGGTATTCTCAACACTATGTCACCATCTCAAGGCTGTGTCCTTGGAGCAGCCTCTGGGAGTGGGAAAGGCAAGTAGAACCCACATTCCAAGGACAAGGGAGCAGGTGAGGGGCCTCTGAGTGTCTGGGGCCAAGCTCATGGGTCAATCAGTGATCACATTTTATTTTTTTTGATGATGTTCCCCAACACCCCTGAGCTCTCCCTTCCTTCACTCCCTATGCTGTCTGCACCCTACCTGTATGCCCTTTCCCTGTGTCTTCATTTTACCTTATATGCACTCTTGGGACACCTGGGTGGCTCAGTCAGTTAAGCATCTGACTTTGGCTCAACTCATGATCTCATGGTCTGTGAGTTTGAACCCCGCGTGGGACTCTGTGCTGACAGCATGGAGCCTGCAGTCCGCTTTGGATTCTGTGTGTGTGTCTCTCTCTCTGCCCCTCCCCTGCTTATACTCTCTCTCTGTTTCTCTTTCTCAAAAATGAACAAACATTAAAAAATAAAATACATATGTACACTCTCACACACACACAGAGTCACTCCGCCAACATTTCACCTTTTTTGCTATGCACCTTGACCTGTGAGCTAGTAATGCTCACAGCAACATCTAATGTTACACATTCTAAATAATAACTTTGTGGGTTGTTCAGGGATGAAAAGACTAAAAAGGGCCTCCCTTTCTATACCTCCAGAAGGTGTGAACATACCACAATTCGTTCACATGTGAACACCTTACTGAGATACAAATATCTGTGTTGATGGCGTGAATGTGACTTTATTAATATGAGTCAGTTGTGTGAGCTTGTGTGTGTCATAGCATGTATGACACACTGTGCATATGTGCATATATAGTGTGTGTGTTTATATATAGTGAGTTTTGGATGCATGAGAGTTTGTTAAAGAAAGTGTGAGTGTATATGCGTTCAAGTAAATGAGCATGTGTGACTGTGATTGTATTTGTGTGTATGAACACGTGTGCGTTTGCATCTGTGTGTAAGGCTGGAAAACACATGTAGATGAGAAACTGAGCACCATAGGATTCTAATCCCCCACTTGGAAACGAGGGGCTCTAGACAGAGGTGCTAGATCATATTGTGGATTTGTTTGAAGGAAAAAACAAAAGGATTGATTTGAACTCATATTTAAAAAATCAATTATGAAAGCAATCAGGCTCATTACTAAACATTCAGAAAAAAAAAAAAAAAGCTTCAGGGGCACCTGGGTAGCTCAGTCAGTTTTATATCCGACTTCATCTCACGGTTCATGGGTTCGAGCCCTGTGTCTGGCTCTGTGCTGACAGCTCAGAGCCTGGACCTGCTTTGGATTCTGTGTCTTCTTCTCTCTCTGTCTCTCTCCCACTCATGATCTGTCTCTCTGTCTCTCAAAAATTAAAAAAAATATATATTTAAAAATTTAAAAAAACCTTGAGGAACAAGGTAACCATTCAATGCCCTTGGATTAAGGAAGTAACATTTGCCTATGTGGTATTAAAAGCATTGTAAAATCGACTTTTTAAATTATCTGATCCCAGAGACATTTGGGTGACTCAGTTGGTTAAACATCCCACTTTGGCTCAGATCATGATCTCACAGTCTGTGAGTTCAAGCCCTGCATTAGGCTCTGTGCTGACAGCTCAGAGCCTGGACCCTGCTCCAGATTCTGTGTCTCCCTCTATCTCTGCCCCTTCCCCAGTAGTGCTCTATGTCCCTCTGTCTTTCACAAATAAATAAATGTTAAAAAAAAAATTTTAAGCGAATTATCTTATGCTGTCTGAAAAAAGCATGCTTTCATTGGTGAGAGGCTCATGAACATGCATATTTCTATGGTTGTTGTTGTTGTTATTATTATTATTATTAAATAAGTAGACTTCACATCCAGCACAGAGCTCAATGCAGGGCTTGAACTCAGGACCCTGAGATCAAGGGTGGGATGCTTAACCAACTGAGCCACCCAGGTCCCCCTCTATGATTATTATTCTGTTTAGATTTCCTATATCTACAGGGGTAGCAGAAATGGTGAATATTGGTACCGTATTTGCAATATATCCAGCCTGAAGACTAGGAAATAATTCATTTGGTGTAGAAAAACTTTTCAAGGGAACAGACAATGCAGTGAGACACACAAGGTTCATGGCTAGTCCCACATGTGTCAGACTTCAGTGTTTCCTGCTCCCTTCCTCTGAAACCATCTGCCTTCAGGGATCAAGGAGAAGAAAGAGCCCTCCCAACACTTGCAAAGATCCCTTTGGAGATGAAAACTAGAAACTTGCTGTTGTTTTCAACAATTAAGAATTGGGAAAAAAAGTTTGTCACAAATATTCCCAGTTCTCCATGCCTGTACTCTCATTGTGACTATAGGTGAAGAGAAAATTGTAGTTCCATGGGGAGGTGACATCACACGACTACAAGCCCATATCTAGTGGTCTGACAGCTTAACTTTTCTCTCACACGATACTAGCTGTGGTGACCATCATGTTAATCCCCCCGTCCTGGCAGCCAGAGAAACTCCAGTGAATATTTCTATTTCAGTCTAAGGAGCAGAGTCTGCAAACAAAGAGAGTTATCAAGAGTCTAGGTAAGTGATTATATTGGGGAAACAAAATGACTCTTCTGGATTTCAGACTTGTCCAGGGCCAAAGCCACACAGGAAGGAGGAATAATTCTGATGCTTGAGTTGAATCGGTAAAGAAAGACAGGGTCCTAGACCTTCACCAATCCCTGATGGCTCCTGATGTAATTTACTATAACCCTGACAGTGACAGTTGGTGTTTAATCCAAGTGATAATCAAATCTTGTTTTTAATGTGAATCATGGCTGTAGTTCTAAAATAGATCTGCAGCCAGGCTACCTTACTAGCTGAGAGTCAGGATAACTACAGGTGCCTATAATACCTGCATGGTTAATAAAAGCTAGAAAAAAATCTACAGAATTATCAAATCCTTTGCAGAAGCAGTGCATATGAATAACAATGACTGGAGGAGAAATGTTTCTCTATCTCAGGGTGTATGACATGATTAGTGGAGACATTAATTATTTCCTATTGAAAACATCTATGATCTGTTGATTTTGGTAAGACCATTTTTCCATCTTTGAGTAAGGGGGGGAGCATTGAAGGAAATGGCAATGTTATAAAATGGATTTCAGATGACAGACACAAAAGTATCTTGTGAGCAATTCTCTGGTTTAAAAATATTATCAATCACAAGCTCTGAAATTTCAATTTATAAAATGTACAAGTTTTCACATCCTAGAGATTTCATTTTGTATATGCGTTATAGGAAAACATGTTTAACAAAGCTTGCCTTATTGTCAATGTGTTTTCTTTGTTTTCAAAATTTATTTATTTTGAGAGAGAGGGAGTGTAATTATTAAGAGAGAGAGGAGTGGCAGAGGAAGAGAGGGAGAGAGAGGATCCCACGCAGACTCCACACTGTTAGTGCAGAGCCTGACGTGGGGCTCAATCTCACAACCCTGGGATCATGACCTGAACCAAAATCAAGAGTCCGATGCTTAAACAACTGAGCCACCCAGGTGTCCCGCCAATGCGTTTTCTTAAGTTATGTTAGTAAACATTAGTTTGGAATTTGAAATTAGTGATACTGAGTTTCTACTCTATAGTACTTTCTCATATTGGTGTTTCAAGTTCCATAGTTCAGAGCACAGTAGAGCATTAAGTGATTTTTGTGTAGGTGTCATTTCATTGCTGATATAAAAGCAAATTAGTGTTTCTGTGGCCAATCCAATACACAGCCAGTAGTACATTCTTTGTATATAATTTGTCATGGAGTAGGTCTGTATACAATTATACTACAATCAGCACAGCTAGATTTTATGAAGATATTTATAGCCTTATTCATAATAGGTCTTAGCCTATACAATAAAATTTTACACATAAATGGAAACTTGTACAAAAATATAAAATGCCAAATATAAAATAGTATGTGCAAAAACATCTAAATACACACCTATATTTTGAAGAATACATCTAACTAGCTTTGTTAGAAGAGCATTGTGCTTAAAGGCACTGCCATTATATCAGCCCAATGAGGTTCAAATCTCCCCATTCCCATAAATATGGTTTGAATTTGACAAATCACTAGCCTTTCTCTGCCTCAGTGCTCCTTATTTTTTCCATGAAAATGCTCATACACTCTCATGAAGTTGTGAAGAATCCAGGATGCTACACACATACCCTTTCTAGTATTAATCATACTCTGTAGAAAGCACCTTACATTAACAGTCAATACTTGAAAACCTGTTAAAATGTGTTAACTATAAACAATGATTTCTAAGTGGGAGCTAAGGTAAGAAGAAAATACTGAATTCAAGCTATGACACATGTAGCTCATGCCTCATGTTCCCATGCAGGAATCTCTGGCTTGGAAGATGACTATCACTCCCTGGGAACTGGCAAAAAGGCCGACAGGGGTTTGGCAATGAGAATGATCTTTCTATTACAGACGATAGTCGGGATTCTGGGGAATTTCTCTCTTCTTTGCCATTATCTCTTGCTTCACTTGACAGAATGTAGGGCAAGGTCCACAGATCTGATTCTCAAGCACATGATTGTGGCCAATCTCTTAGTTATTTTTTCCAAAGGAATCCCCCAAACGATGGTAGATTTGGACGTGAAATATTCCCTTAGCGATTTTGAATGCAAACTTGTTTTCTATGTTCACAAAGTGGGCAGGGATGTGGCCATTGGAACCATCTGCCTCTTGACTGTCTTCCAGGTGGTCATGATCAGTCCAGTGGACTCCAGGTGGTCAGGGCTTAAAGCGAAATCTCTGAAGTACATGGGCATCTCCAACATCCTCTGCTGGGTCCTGAACATGATGCTTAATATTATGGTTCTTTTCGTTATGACCAACAAAAGGGGCAACACGAACATAACAAGGAAGAGAGATTATGGCTACTGTTATTCCATAACTGGGGGCTATATAGCACAGTCATTGTATGTAGCAGCAGTATTATTCCATGATGGTTTCTGTTTGGGGCTCATGATCTGGGCCAGCGGCTCCATGGTCTTCATCCTGCATAGGCACAAGCAGCGGGTCCAATACATCCTTAGGAACAATCTCTCCGCCAGACCCTCCCCTGAGACCAGAGCCACTGAAAGCATCCTTGTCCTGGTGAGCACCTTTGTGTCCTTGTGGGCACTCTCCTCTTTCTTGCACATTTGTTCGGTCCTGTTTAACAACTCCAGTCTGTGGCTGAGGAACACTTCTGCACTAATCGCTGCGTGTTTCCCTACGGTCAGCCCCTACATCCTCATGAGTTATGACTCCAGAGTGTCTACCCTCTGCTTTCCTTGGAAAGGAACACGGATCACCTAAACTTGTAATAAATATGTAAACCGTATGTTTATTTAAATGGTGGTTTGTTTATTCATAATCCCCTTCAGTGGATAAGCACAGCTATGAAATAGTCACAAAAGTAGAAAACGAGGACTGACCTTCTGCTCCTAAGTAAATAATAATGCGAATGGCAACTGTAAATGAAATATAATCATGTTAATATTTATGTAATTGAAATTGACTAATATTCGCAGTGGAGGAGTTCAGCTTCTATACAGTGATTATTCCAGAGACAATTTGGAGATTATAAAGAAGTCATTAAGAATACAACTTTCAGGGAGTCTGGATGGCTCAGTTTGTTAAGCATCCAACTCTTGGTTTCAGCTCAAATCATGACCTCATGGTTTGTGAGATCGAGCCTTGCATTGTGCTGTGTACTGACAATGGGGAGCCTGTTTGGGATTCTCTCTCTTTCTCTGCCTGTCCCTCACTCATGCTCTCTCTCTCTCTCATTCTCTCTCTCATAATAAATAAGCCTAAAAAAAAAAAAAAAAGAATACAGCTTTCAATCTGACACAGTAAATTTTCCAGACATTAAGTGCTAGTAGAATTGTAGGAAAAATCCCCTAAAACAGAAGCACCAATATACACTGTCATCCAAGAAACTGAAAAATGAAGAGCAATAGTGAAACTGGTAGGTAAATTCAATTTCAGATAGTACAGCCATTGAGGGATAAGTAATGAATTTTACATTACTTCCTCACAGGGACCCTAGTCATTTGAAGTAAGGTGTTATAAAGGGAGAGGAGTATATTGAAAACATTTTCATGTGGAGGTAGCCATTTAAACTGGAGTCAGACAACTGAGATCTATTTTTTTTTTTTTGCAGATTTTTAAAAGATATTGTGTAAAGTGTTGCTTATTAAAAATGCATTCTGCTTGGGATAAAGTTATATGGATTTGGGAATCTGTATAAGGTAGTTTCTTTCTAATAATGTGAAGATGCCAGTTGGGCATGTTGGCAGAAATAGGTTCCCAAGGTGCAATCCCATGACCCAAGGTGAAGAATAATGTTAGGGTAGTGTCTTCCATCACTCAAGAAGTGATGGGGGAATGGTCATTTGGAGGGGTTAACCATGAATCCATTTTATTGATGTGTAGTTTTTGGCCTGTGGCTATTGAAAGGAAGAAAATGGACATTTCTACAATTTTACAAATTAATGTTGGTTTCTGCTATATTTATATCATAAAGCTCATATGAAGAACTGAAGTTTTAAATATTAGAAACAAAGAATTTGTTTTGCCTGATGTGTATATATTAAATGTTCTGTCAAAGAAATAGAGAAACATATCTTAAATCACGTTACACTTAAAGATACGTACAACATATTCCACACTAAACAACGTGCTTGCGTGTGTATATTTCTGTGTATTTGTATTTGAAGGTATATACATATGTGTATTCATGATTGTTGTGTTTATAAATGCACAAGCATACATTTTAGATCAAATTATGTTTGTTTTGCATCCAAAACATTGGGAAATTGTAAAGTAATAAAACATAAACTGCTGTAACATTAAATTCTATTTTATTTGATATGTGTGTCCAGATATGGTTGCATAAATTTACATGGAACACATTTTTCATCTTTTTATATGAACCCTTATATTTGAGATATCTCTCTTGGAAAAGTATCCAAACGAACATACTAATTTTTTTTAACTTATTTAGAAGTAGCCTTTAAGGCTAATGCAAAAACGCATATATTGAAGAATGAATTCAACAAATTCTTGTCTGATCTTCATTATATCTGTTATATTTTCTTATTCTTTCTAAATTAATTTTTTATATCAAGTATTTAAAATAACTATAACTTGGGGCACCTGGGTGGCTCAGTCTATTGAGCATCTGACTTCAGCTCAGGTCATGACCTCGCAGTCCATGAGTTCCAGCCCCATGTCTGTCTCTGTGCTGTCAGCTGAGAGCCTGGAGCCTGCTTCAGATTCCGTGTCTCCCTCTCTCTGCCCCTCCCCTGTTTGTGCTGTGTCTTTGTCTCTCAAAATAAATAAATAAATAAATAAATAAATAAGTAAATAAGTAAGTAAATAAATAAAAAGCATTAAAAATTTTTCACCAATAACTTCTTTCCTTTAGGGCGTGTATAATCAATTAATTAAGCTACATGGAATGAATTTTTTAATTTTAATCCTTATATTTTAGCTATGTTTCTTGGGGAAAAAATATCCAACTGTATATAATAAAATGCATTTAACCTTAGCAAGAGTACTTAGTGTATTTGTATTTTATGCACTAAATGGTTATATTCTGGACTGTAATTACCAGTTTATAGTGTGGTCTTCATTACACCGGTTATATGTTCTTTGTTTTTCTATAGTAACTTTCTTTTTTATTTTGGAAATACTTCTAAGCTTTACCCCTTTCAATTTGGTGGTTGTACGTTGGCATATTTTCATTTTTAACTTAAAATTACAGCATACTATGCTTTCTTTGGCAACACACATACTAAATTTGGAACAATACAGAGATTAGCATGGCCTCTTGCAAAAGGATGACTCACAAATTCATGAAGCATTCTATATTTTTTTAATTACAGCATTCCATTAAAAACTAATCAGAGTAGAATTATTTGATAGGTTTAAAACACTGGACAGTATGATGGCAACCCAACAATAAACCAGTCCACTCTCCCAGCACGTTTCCTTGTTGATCTGTATTTTTAAAAGTGTTGATGTCATATGCACAGGTCATAAACTCACAGCTCAGTGAAATGTCACAAAGTAAATAGACCTCTGTATTGAACACCTACATTTTAAAAAATGCATGGATGTAGAATTATTGGCACATTCCACAGATACCCTACTCTTCCCCCTAAAGTTTCAGTATTTTCACCAGGTAACCAATAATCTGACATCTTAGAGCATAGAAAATTTTGAGGCAATTTTTAATTTCACACCAATGAGCGAATACAGCATTCACTTATTTTTAATTTTTATTATTCAATGTGTTATTTGTGAATATCGATATTGAATATCAAAGGGTTAATTTAATCATTCCTCTGTTGTCATTCACATGAGTGGTTTTCAGTTTGGGACAATTAGGATATTTGCAAATTCTTTTCTCTTTGTGAGACTTGTACGTATACCTTTGGGTGTACACGTGATGGTGGGATTTTTTTTTAAATCCTTATTCATTTTTGAGAGAGAGAGTGTGTGAGGGGGGAGGCCCAGAGAGAGAGAGGGACAGAGGATCTAAAGTGGGTTCTGCACTGGCAGTAAAGAGCCCAGTGCAGGACTCGAACTCACAAACTATGAGATCATGACCTGAGATGAACCAACTGAACCACCCAGGTTCCTCGGTAGTGGTTTTACCATACACATATACCTGTCTTGCTTTATCACACATTGTGAAATATTTTCCAAAAGGCTCTTTTTGAAACTAATTTTCATACCAAGTAGCAGAGTATGTGATATCTGGTTTATCCCCATTGTACCAACACTTAGTATTTTCTGTCATCGTCATTATAACTTTCTTGTTGATTGTTCCAATAAGGATTTTGTCTTCCCTTGGTAACTAAAAAAGTTGAATATCTTTTTGCATATTGACTTCATATAAGCTTTTTAAAAATTTAATGTCCTTTGGGATATTTTTGCCATTTTTTAAGTTGTGTCCCTTTTTCTACTTGGCCTATACTAGTTCTTTATATGTGCTGCATAAATTGTCTTTTCATGGTGTGTTATCTATCTCTATACTCATGAAGATCAGCTCTAAATTGTATTATAACTTGTCATTTCCTGTTATATTTAATGTCTTTTTGTTCGGTGTCAGAAATATTTTCCATACTAAGAATGCAGAGATTATATCTTCTGTTTTTTTCTTACAGGGCGCCTGAGGGGCTCAGTTGGGTAAGCGTCCGACTTCAGCTCAGGTCATGATCTCAGGATGTGTGGATTAGAGCCCCGCATTGGGCTCTGTGCTGACAGCTAACTCAGAGCCTGGAGCCTGCTTCAGATTCTGTGTCTCCCTCTTTCTCTGCCCCTCCCCAGCTCTCTCTCTGTCTCTAAAATAAATAATAAAATATTAAAAATTTTTAAAAATTTTTACATTTTTTTTGAGATAGTGCCAGCAAGCAGGGAAAGAACAGAGGAATTGGAAAGGAGAGGATTTTAAGTAGGGACTCAATCTCATAAACTGTGAGATCATGACCTGAGCTGAAATCAAGATTTGGATGCTTAACCAAGTGAGCCTCCCAGGTGCTTCTGTTTTCTTCTTAAACTACATTATTCACTATATCATGTAGAAATCATTCAGAATCACTTTGTTGTAATGTGGGTAGCAATTTATATTGCTTTCCAGTAAGACTAATAAATTGCAATTTATTTAGCAAATACTGTCTTGTGGTTCCTTTTCTTTCACCTATTACTGCCTTACTAGGTAACAGCACATCTTCCTTGGGACTGACTTTTTAGGTATGAATTTTGATGGTCATTCTGCCCTTTTCTCCTGCCTCCTAAAGCCGTTAGGAATCCCCTGCACCACACATCAAAGTCCTGATGCCCAGAACCATTTTGTTCAAATGATCAATTTTTTTTCATACATAAAGGAAGAAGTCAACCCTGATGTGATATAATTTCCTTAGGCATTTATCTTATTTATATCTTTTATTAGCTTTCATTCCAAACTATCTTATCAAGGATAACATTTTGTGTAAAGAATAGTCTTTAATGCGGATGTTTCTTAATTGGAGGTAATGGACTGATTAATTGATCAATAATAAGAAAGGTAATGGCTTTCTCTGAGGCAAAAGCTGGGCAAGTTGGCTTATGATCCATCTTAAAATATTGGGGTTTCTTAAGTTTGTGGCTCCTCAGCTATGGTGCAAATTTACAAATGTACAGAACCTCCTGGAGCTGTTTGCAATCCCCCTCAATACCTGGTCTTGGGGAAAGACAAGGGGAGGAAAGGCAGACATGAAGATCTTGCTGTCAGTTGTGACATGAAACATTAGGTCTTTTGTTGCAGACCTAGGATTCTCAAATGTTCTGCCACCAACCATTAAACAGACAACCTAATTCCTTTGCTACCAAATAGAGTAAGATTTAAGATCCTTCTTGGGGTGCCTGGATGGCTCAGTTGGTTAAGCATCCAACTTTGGCTTAGGTCATGATCTCATCGTTCATGAGTTTGAGCCCTGCATTAGGCTCTGTGCTGACAACTCAGACCCTGGAGCTTGCTTTGGATTCCATGTCTCCCTCTCTCTCTACTCCTTCCCCAGTCACACTCTGTCTCTCTCTCAAAAATAAACAAACATTAAAAATTTAAAAAAAGAGATGCTTCTTCTTTTTGGTAGGTCCTGCAGACCCTAGATAGCCAGAAGTATTCATTTTTTGGTAAAGACTTGAGGAAATCTGAGTTTGGGGCTGATCTTCGTGTTATTGGTGGAAGAGGTCATCAAGAAGATGTGACCACCGCTTGACTTGAGAGCTTGCCCTAGGCAATAGATTCCTCCCCCCATCTCCTGTCCTTTGAATGTATGTTCTACCCACTGTTCCTAGTGGGAGCTGTTCCAAGGACATAGCCTTGAGAGTAAGAGCTTGTGGAGACCATCTGGGCAGTGCATGTGACTAAATCTGCAAAAACCACACCAGAAACTTCCAAGATTCTGGCAGGTGAGTATGGAGATCTACTCATCTTGTGGCCACCCAAGACAAGCCACTTAAGTTCCTTTGCTCATTAAACCTGCCACCTACCAAACTGAGTGGCCTACCTCTTTCTTCAGTGTCTCTCTACCCTCTGTGGACAGCCAGTTTCAGATTTCACCTCAGAAGCTCATGAGTTTGTGACCCAACAGTTATGCTGGAAGCACCAGGTAATCTGGAGGCATCTATAAGGTGCCAATTTGGAATAGGGTCTGTAGGGAATCATGGCCATTTATACCATGCAGGGTGGTTCTGGGTGTCCAGTTCCAGGACCTTGATGCTAGATTTCAGGCAGATGATTTAAAGGAAGTACTGGATTCAGGTTATGCATGTCTGTCTTTGGGCACCCACCAGTAATGGATTTATCTTACCTATCCTCCCATACATCCATGGGAAGGAAGTGAATTAAAGCAGAGGAGAAACAATGAAGGACCCATGAAAGGGATGGTATAGAGTTGGTGGAAAGAACAGTTTTGTGCTACAGATTCTGGTCTTAGGAGTGCCTGGGCTCTGACTCAGACCTGTTCTTTTGAGGCTGAGTACATTCTAGGTAAGTGGTTCATAGACTGGAATCTTTGGAGGGACCAGCTTCCTTTACTGTTCAGGGCCAGTATGGAGTAGGGATATGCTGGGAGTCTTTTGGAGACATAGTCTAATGTGTGGCATTTGTGTGGGGACTACTTGGAGCACCAGGACATGAAGAGTAAGTCCTTGGGATTGAGTAGGACCCCAGAGCCCAGAGTCACAGCACTGCTCTGCATATACACTTGGGTCTGCAGGGTAGAAGATACCCACATTTCAACATAAGAATTCCTCCCTCTAGTCCCTTCTTCTGGGGAAGCCTCCACTCTTTCTGAGGCCATTCCACAATGGGAGAGAGGTGAAGGAAGCCCCAGAACAGGAAAGGAAATAAAAAAATATATGGGGTGGCATGTAAAGTGACAGTTGGTGGGGTATTATGTTTTATATCCAAGTGCAAGGGCCTATTAGCAATTCCCCATCAGTAGTGAATGTGTGTACTCATAATGGAGAAGGAATCTCATGTCTCAGAACCATATAGATAATCTACATGTGCACAGATCAATATGATTAAGGATCTGTTTGTCATAATGTGTCTGATATCAGGAGACAGACATATTTAGCTCTGGACATGTATAAATAGGAAATATTTCAAGCAGATGGTTCATTGGTGATCCACATGGAATATGATGTAACACTTCAGAGGAAGAATATCTCCTTCCTAGGTCACTGATTGAGGAAGAAAGAATTATTGGATAAGTCTAATATTTATGGAAATAATGAACCAAGAATAAAAGAATTAATAGTGTATCTGTGTGTATATTTTTCATACAATTTCAGACATAGTCTAAATTCCATAAGGAGGAAGATACAAGACAAACAGCTAAAACTGGATGTGGGATAATTAATGGTTTCTTTTACTTTGTCCTATAACTATTTATAATTACATTTATTTCTACATGTACAAGCATACCTCAGAAATATTGTGGATTTTGGTACAGACCGCCCTGACAAAGTATCACAAAAAACAAGTCAAGTAAACATTGTCATTTCCTAGTGCATATAAATGTTTACATGACACTGTAGTCTAGTGAGTGTGCAATAGCATTATGTCTAAAACAAAAGCATATATACTTTATTTTAAAATACTTTGTTGCTACAACATGCTAATCATCATCTGAGCTTGTCCTCAAGTGAGTTGTCATCTTTTTGCTGGTGGAGAGGGTCTTGCCTCCATGTTGATGGCTGCTAACTTGTCAGAGTGGTGATTACTGAAGATGGGGTGGCTGTGACAATTTCTTAAAATAAGAGAACGATGAAGTTTGCCACATGGATTGACTCTTCTTTTCACAAACTATTTCTCTGTAA